AAAATTGAAGATGAGCAGGCAATGGGTGCTCAGCTCCAGAAGAAACTGAAGGAGCTGCAGGTACGTGTTTGTGTAGCGTGAACACTCTTGATATACTGCACTATTAACTAGCCAAATTTAATGAAAAGCTAAAGACTTCTATTTCGTGACAGACTTATGTTGAGGACCTAGAGAAAAATTGGTCATCAAAAATTCTGCAACTTGATAATTTTCAACCATTCATCAGGCCCGCATTGAGGAACTGGAGGAAGAGCTGGAGGCTGAGAGAGCTGCTCGTGCCAAGGTGGAGAAGCAGAGGGCAGACTTGTCCAGGGAGCTGGAGGAGATCAGTGAGAGGCTGGAGGAGGCAGGTGGAGCCACTGCAGCTCAGATTGAGATGAACAAGAAGAGGGAGGCAGAGTTCCAGAAACTGCGCCGAGACCTCGAAGAGGCCACACTGCAGCACGAGGCAACTGCTGCCACTCTGAGAAAGAAGCATGCTGACAGTGTAGCTGACCTGGGCGAGCAGATTGACAATCTGCAGAGAGTGAAGCAGAAGCTTGAGAAAGAGAAGAGTGAGCTCAGGCTGGAGCTGGATGATGTGGTCTCCAACATGGAGCAGATTGCCAAAGCCAAGGTAAGACGTGACACATATAAACTTATGTGAAGACTAAGTATAGTATACAGAGTGTTGAACCACTGAGGATACTAATTTGACATATTATTGTAGACAAATTTGGAAAAGATGTGCAGGACATTAGAAGATCAAATGAGTGAATATCGAACCAAATATGAGGAGGCCCAGCGGGGCATGAATGACTTCACCATGCAAAAAGCCAAGCTCCAGACTGAAAATGGTATGTGAGCCTATTGTTAGACATAATTTATTTAAAATACCCAACAGTGTGGCCAAGTTACACATAGTATCCTCATAAACTGTACCACCACAGGGGAGCTCGCCAGGCAACTGGAAGAGAAGGACTCCCTGGTCTCTCAGCTGAGCAGAGGAAAACAATCCTACACCCAGCAGATTGAGGATCTCAAAAGACAACTTGAGGAGGAAGTCAAGGTGATTGCTTTAATGAAACACTCTAATCCGAGAATTAGGGAATGGTAAGTCTGAACATTATGAGTGATCTTCATCTTCTTGGTTCCAGGCTAAGAACGCTCTGGCCCACGCAGTGCAATCTGCTCGCCATGACTCAGACCTGTTGAGGGAGCAGTATGAGGAGGAACAGGAGGCCAAAGCTGAGCTGCAGCGCAGCCTCTCCAAGGCCAACTCTGAGGTGGCTCAGTGGAGAACGAAATATGAGACCGACGCCATTCAGAGGACTGAGGAGCTGGAGGATGCAAAGTACGGACACTCGCCTTGACAAAGTTTTTAAATTAGTTCATATTCAGATTCATTCTGACCAAACCATGGCACCATATCAAACACTCTTCTTACAGATAAGCTTTTTGTTTGCATTATATTTCCTACCTTATATAAGACGAACAAAAAGTTTGTTTGTTTGTTGACTGTGCAGCTGTGCCTTTTTATGTCCTAATGTAATATTAGCTGTATGTTGGCACCATTCTGTTGATATGGAAAATATGTTCGACCAAAATCTACAATTTATCATTCAGGAAGAAACTGGCTCAGCGTCTGCAGGATGCAGAAGAGGCTGTAGAAGCTGTGAACGCCAAATGCTCCTCCCTAGAGAAGACCAAACACAGACTGCAGAATGAGATTGAAGATCTCATGGTGGATGTGGAGAGGTCCAATGCAGCTGCTGCTGCTCTTGACAAGAAGCAAAGAAACTTTGATAAGGTGATTGAAAGCAAAGATAATCCTAACCCTTTAAAATGTATGTGACAGGTTTTCAGTATTCCCCTGTTTTGTTTCCTCCAGGTTCTGGCTGAATGGAAGCAGAAATATGAGGAGTCCCAGAGTGAGCTGGAGAGCTCCCAGAAGGAGGCCAGATCCCTGAGCACTGAACTCTTCAAACTGAAGAACTCGTATGAGGAGTCCTTGGACCATCTAGAGACGATGAAGAGGGAGAACAAGAACCTTCAAGGTAATCCTTACATATGCAAGACATCTTGTGCACATATTTTCTATGTAGAATTGTTCAAATACACAAACACTTGGACTTAGGAAAGTAACATCTTTTTCTTTTAAACAGAGGAAATTTCTGACCTGACTGAACAACTTGGTGAGGGAGGAAAGAGCATCCATGAACTTGAGAAAATAAGGAAGCAGCTGGAGCAGGAGAAGAGTGAGATCCAAGCTGCTTTGGAAGAAGCGGAGGTGAGGTCTTCATTCTTGTATTTAAAGTTTTTTAGATGTTTTGTAACGTGAAAACTTAATACAGATTTTCACATAATGTTGTTACATTCAAAAATGAGCTTGATATAAGAAGTTGGTAACAGTACTTGACACCGCACAAATACTTAGCAATAACTCAGTTACTACTGAAGTACAAATTATGAACAAATCATGAACAAATATAGTTGCTAATCCATCTGAAATATGCATCATGATTCATTAATGATGAACAAACATAAGTATTTCACTTCTGTTATTCATGAGTTGGTTCTTCAGCAGTTCATCAGTAGTTCCTTCAGTATTTCAGAATGTTTTACAGAATTAACAGATATAGTAACAAATACAGTAACTGCTTGAGATAAAACATTCATCACAATTCATTACTGATGATTTAACATGAGATCATGTAACTAAGACTTTGGTCTCAAATTAATGTATTTTAGTTTGTGGTTAACTGATACATAAGTAATAGTATAATACTATATTATTTGTGCCCCGTCAAGTAACATGATACCAAGAAGTTTTCATTTTTTAGGCTTCACTGGAGCATGAGGAGGGCAAAATCTTGAGAGCCCAGCTGGAATTCAATCAAGTGAAAGCTGACATTGAACGCAAATTGGCTGAAAAGGATGAGGAGATGGAGCAGGCCAAGAGGAACCAGCAGAGAGTGGTGGACACCCTACAGAGCTCTCTGGAAGCTGAAACTCGTAGCAGGAATGAAGCCCTCAGGCTGAAGAAGAAGATGGAGGGAGATCTTAATGAGATGGAGATCCAGCTCAGCCAGGCTAACAGGCAGGCTGCAGAAGCTCAGAAGCAGCTCAAAGGTCTCCATTCACATCTCAAGGTATGTTGTTCTTTGTGTAGTACAAGTAGGAAAATGTCGTTAATGAATGAGTGATTTTATGATTTTCTTAGTCAATTAAATAGACCATCAAATTTATCAAGAATCACCTTCCTGGTTTTGACAGTGGGTGTTCTAACATTCCTCTTGCTCAGGATGCCCAGTTGCAGCTGGATGACTCTCTCCGTGCCAATGATGACCTGAAGGAGAACATTGCCATTGTGGATAGACGTAACAATCTGCTGCAGGCAGAGCTAGATGAGCTGAGGTCACTGGTGGAGCAGACCGAGAGAGGACGCAAGCTGGCGGAGCAGGAACTGCTGGATGTCAGCGAGAGGGTGCAGCTGCTGCACTCACAGGTATGGCGGGAAATCTGTGTGACCATCTGGTCCTGCTGACACTTAATGTAAAACTGGGAAATCCCATCCGCCTCTCCTTGGCTTCTCTTTTGAACAGAATACCAGCCTGCTCAATCAGAAGAAGAAGCTGGAGGGTGATATATCCCAGCTTCAGACTGAAGTAGAAGAAGCAGTTCAGGAGTGCAGGAATGCAGAGGAGAAAGCCAAGAAGGCCATCACTGACGCTGCCATGATGGCAGAGGAGCTGAAGAAAGAGCAGGACACCAGCGCTCATCTAGAGCGCATGAAGAAGAACATGGAGCAGACCATCAAAGATCTGCAGCACCGCTTGGATGAAGCTGAGCAGATCGCCATGAAGGGAGGCAAGAAACAGGTTCAGAAGCTGGAGGCTCGGGTGAGTGCTGTACAGTTTGTTCATGGTCACTGAACTGAGATCTGATACTTCAGTCCTTTGGGCTTTTTGAATATTGAAAGGATAATGATTTGGTCACATTAACAGGTGAGAGAGCTGGAGAATGAGGTCGAAATGGAGCAGAGAAAGGGCAGCGATTCCGTTAAGGGAATCCGTAAATATGAGCGACGTATCAAAGAGCTCACCTATCAGGTACATCTCACCTACCTTCTGGCTCATTGAGCCTGGTGTTCATCTCTATATTTGCATGATAAGGACTCATGGAGAAGCACATGGTTTTGCTGGTGTGCTGTATAAATATAACACTGTTCTTTTGTGTCTGCAGACTGAAGAGGACCGTAAGAATCTGGCCCGTCTGCAGGACCTTGTGGACAAGCTGCAGCTGAAGGTCAAGTCCTACAAGAGAACTTCTGAGGAGGCTGTAAGTAACAAACTTCATAGATTAATGCTTGTTAAACACATGACTCCAGCACACAAATGTGTCATCAAGCCAGTTTTTAACTGATTGCCCTCTGTGTGTGTTTGGTTTAGGAGGAGCAAGCCAACACTAATCTGGGCAAGTTCCGGAAGCTTCAGCACGAGCTGGATGAGGCTGAGGAGAGAGCCGACATCGCGGAGTCTCAGGTCAACAAGATGCGAGCCAAAAGCCGGGATATTGGCTCCAAGGTAGGAAAATGTCTTTAGGGATTGCTTTTGATTAATTTAGCCTTTTCATCAAACTTAAAAAGCAGAAACGCATTTCACTAAAATATATCATAGTTCAGTGATATGAAAGACATCATATTATCAACATTCCATCTCTTCAATGTTTTCTTGGTCATGTCAGAAGGAAAACAAAAACCTAGAGAAACTTCTCTGAAAAGACAGGACGGTTCTGCTTTCCTGAACTTTTGCACATGAACGGAAGCAACATAGTCATGCAAATGTTGTAAAAGCAGAATGTAGTTTAACATCCTGGTTCTGTGGATTTCTCTCCATCTTACGCCATGTTTTTCCCATCACAGAAAGGGCATGATGAGGAGTGAAGTAGACTGCCAGGACTTCCTGAAAACCCACCTTTATTTTGTTTGGTTTTTCCCAAGAGTGAGATACTTGTATCTTTTCTCCAGAAACAAGGTAGTACTGACTCAGAGCAGATCATCATGTTGTCCATGCAGATGCAGATGGAAATGCAACATGCATATCTTAGGGTTCTGCGGTCCTGCTGCCTAGTCTCTGTGAGTGTAATTGTTCAGTGACATTTGGGCCAGTCACTAAGCTCTCAGCCTTACTCTGTTATTTCACATACATTTGGACAATTTGGCAACCTCACAGTAAGCTAAAGTGTAACCTGCCTTTTACTTTGTAAGGTTATTCTCATATTTTGAAACCTTTTCATTTTGGCAGAAATTTTATGTCATAAAATGAACTAATTATTTATTCTAAGTTCCTGCCACATGGAGAAAATCATGTTATATGACTTTCTCCTCAGACGAATTTTGTGCATGATTACTGTGGGTTTCAGTTAATAATAAACATGTTATTTATCTGTTTCAGTTCTTTATGTCTATTTCTTTTCATTTTGAAACTGCATCAATCTGACTATAAACCCAAATGGCCTGAATGATGATCCAAACAAACCATTGCTATGCATTATTCCTCAGTCAGGTCCTATCCAGTACGTTAACAAGCATGCAATACCAAACAGAAAGGGCTTTTACTGGAGCGCAATATATCACCTGAGAATGAGCACAAGCAGGACAAATTACTTGCAAAATATATTAATGAACAACAATAAAAAAGCAAGAATGAAAGGCTGTATGTGCATATTACCAACACCAGAGGGTGCTCTAACACAACTTGAAAGCAGCACCGAAGAGCAGCATACCAGGCCAGTGTAAGACATGGACTAGGCCTGCCATCTGGCAGAGTTTCAGAGTATATTGTTCATATTGTTTCAGTGTATATAGTTTATGTAACAGGTAGATGTTAATCATGGACAACATAATGCTAATTGTGGCTGTCAGCTGGTAATGGCTAATGCTGGTTACATAATCAGGTATTCGGGATCATTTCATTCTCCCAAAAAATTACACCAACACCGAAGAGCGAGTAAGTTGAAAAGACCATGACTGTATGTTGGATCCATTATACCAGACTCAGATATGTTGCTGGAAACAACTCGAACATGCTAACTCATTTGAAACGATGAGCCTGTATCACAATGCTCAATTTTTGGGTCAGCAAGAAGAGAAGTCATACTTAAGGTAGTCTGACCTAAATGTACGCAAAACTGGGATACCTTAAATCTGACAAGATGTCTAATTAATCATCAAATTTTGCTTTGTGATACAGGCCCAACATGATCTGAGTGTGTGCACAATTGGAGCATGACAGAAAAAGCCTCTGGAAGACTCCCGTGGGATTTAAGGAACTTTTGCCAGAAAATTCAGACCGGCTGAAAAACAACTAAGGCTATAGGGATAGTTATTGCTACAGATATGCGGCCAAACTCGTAGGTATTTTTATTTATCATTACAATGTGCAAATAAGTGTCTACAAGGTTTTGTTATACAGACACGGTGACAGATGCATTGCCTTGTATTTTTGTTTGCAGTTATAATAATAAATGTTTGTACTAAACTGTGAATTTTGTGTGCCGTTACACCCCTGGTAGGAATGTGGTTTTTAAAGTTCCGAATACTGGAGATGCCACAATATAATTTTTCCTGGTCTGATGCCGATATATAAAAATTTTGAGCATCTGCCGATACCGATACCATTCTGTTGTTTTTTCCCCTTTACAAACTAATCAAAAGAGATTTTTTTTATCTATACATTTCAATGAACATGGCAAACCAATAGTGTTGCTTTTTAAAAATATACCTGGGTTTGGACAGAATGAAAACAGATGCGGGTACCTCTGACCCTCCTCATGCAGCTGTTCACCATAACTAATACAGCAATCACTATTCTGCCTTTCGTCATCGGCTGCTGATTTGTCAAAGTCGGTGCTACCACCTACTGGAAATACCTAATCAATTATCTTGCACACGTGCAGTCAGATGTGCATGATTTCCGCTAGAGATAAAAATCTGTGCTACATGTATGCCGTCCACAGCCATTCCCTGCCAAGCCCTAATGATGAAATTCATGTTACTTTTCTATGTCCGCAACTGAAAATGCACATGGAGAGGTTAAGTATTGAATTGACCTTTAGGGGATGACTAAAAGGGCAATTTATACTTCACTTTTAACTTTTTCACGTGAACAGAGGTAAGATATGTGTATTGTCACGCCCAGCTCCGTCCGATCCTGTGTGCCACGCCCACCTCGTTACCTCGTGTTAATCCCTGATTGTACTCACCTGTTGCCTGTTCCTTTTGCCTAGTCTTGTGTATTTAGACCTCGTCTGAGTCAGTCTTCCCCAGACTTGTCATTAACGTTTGTAGATGTGCTTCCCCCGGTCTTGTCCTCAGATTAAAACCCCGTTTTGTGGACTTCCTGGCTTGGCTTGCCTTCTTCCCCGTTCGCCTGCAGCACTTTACGTGACAAAATGACAAGTCTCCTTAAAGACGCACCGCAGCAGGAGGACGATCTCTGGCTCCTCCTGCTGCATGAGGTAGCGTATTGGCCGCCGTGGCGCCCCCTGCTGGCCACGTGTTGGCGGCACCCACCGAGGCGCCCCCTGCTGCCCGCACGCCCGAGGTGCCCGCTGAGGCGCCCCCTGCTGGCCGCACGCCCGAGGTGCCCGCCGAGGCGCCCTCTGCTGGCCTCATGCCTGAGGTGCCCGCTGAGGTGCTCCCTGCTGGCCACGTGTCGGCGGTGCCCGCCGAGCCCATGGAGGCGCGACCTGCTGGCTGCAAGCCCGAGGTGCCCGCTGAGGCGGCCCCTGCTGGCCACGTGTCGGAGGCGCCCACCGAGGCGCCCCCTGCTGGCCGCACGCCCGCGGCACTGCCTGAGGCCACCGCTCTTCCCGCGGCACCGCCTGAGGCCGCCGCTCTTCCCGCGGCACCGCCCATCCAGCCCGGCTCTTCTGTCCTGCCCGTCCAGCCTGGCTCTTCTGTCCTGCCCGGCTCGCCCATCCTGCCTGTCCAGCCCGTCCTGCCTGCCTCTCCGGCTGCACCGCCTGCACCCGCTGCGGCTCCAGTGACTTCAGCACCCTTGCCCCAGCGAGGCCGGCGCCCCACAGGACCCCACCTTTCAGTGTCCCGTAAGGGACGGGGACACAGGTGTCGGGCCCGGGTCCCGCCCACCCTGCCCCCTGGCTCGCCCGTTCAGCTCCTGGCTGTGGCTCGGTGGCTGCCTGCGGGTCCTCCAGCTCGGGGTCGGCGGTGTCCGCCGGGTCCCCCCCTGGTTCCTCGGTGCTGGTCCTCGGTCCCGCCTCCGGCTCCGTGTCGGCCGCCTCCGGGCCCCCCTGCTTCGGCTTGGCGTCGGACGGCGCCTTCCCCGGCTCCACCTTCGCCTGCCGCGGCTTCCCTCTCCTGCTGGCCTGCACCGGTGTACCCTCCTGCTCCCTCCGTGTCTCCTCTGTCACTCCCTCGACTCGTTCCCTTGGCCCCTGTGTGGTCCCCTCCTGCTCCCTCCTCCCTCTCGCCTGCGGCCCCTCCGTCCGCTGTCCGTCGCCCGTTTGGGTTCCTTCGGGCTCCCCTGGTTCTTCCTCCCTTGGCCTTTCTCCCTCCTGTATCTGCTCCTCGTCCCTCTGTTTCTCCTCCGTTCGCTCCTGGCCCCTTCGTGTCGCCTGTGGGTGTTCCCTCGGTGTCTCCCTTCTCCGTCTGCCTGTCTGCGTTTCCTGTCCTGTGTCGGGTTTTGTCGTGGCTTTTGCCTCTGTGCCTGTTCTGTGTCTCTATCTTGTTCCCGGTCCCCTGTTGATGTTCTGCTTTTGTTTTTCAGCTCCTGCCCCTCATCTCGTTCGTCGCCTTGTCTCGGGCGCGCCCGTTGTGCGCGCCTTTGGGGGGGGGGTTATGTCACGCCCAGCTCCGTCCGATCCTAATGTGTGCCACGCCCACTTCGTTACCTCGTGTTAATCCCTGATTGTACTCACCTGTTTTCTGTTCCTTTTGCCTAGTCTTGTGTATTTAGTCCTCGTCTAAGTCAGTCTTCCCCAGACTTGTCATTAACTTTTGTAGATGTGCTTCCCCCGGTCCTGTCCTTAGATTAAAACCCCGTTTTGTGGACTTCCTGGCTTGGCTTGCCTTCTTCCCCGTACGCCTGCAGCACTTTATGTGACATGTATCTCTCTCCCTCTTCCTCTCTCCACTATACTGTGTTGTACTAGTACCCACGAAGCCCTCACCTTCACCCCTCCAGTCTGAATGATTACTGTCCCATTGCTCTAACCCCTGTGGCAATTAAGTGATTGATGAAGAATCTCATATGCATTTCACTACCCAGTGATCTAGACTCAAGACAGTTTGCATATTGTTTCAACAGATCCATTAACAACACCATTACCTTTCTACTTCACACAGCACTAGCCCACTTGGAGAATAGTAGGGGAAACTATGTGAGAATGCTGTTTGTATGTTGCAGTTCAACACCATAGCCCCCTCCAGGCTCATCACATACATACATACATACATACATACCAAGGACCTGATCTGGACCCTGCACATGGACTCCTTAGCGAGGAAGGCATGCCAGTGTCTCTATCACCTCAGGCGCCTCAGGGACTTCAAGCTGCCTGCCAAAATACCGAGGAACTTTTACACAGATACCGTTAAAAGCATCCTGACTGAGAGCATTACCACCTGGTTCAGGAATAGCACACAGCAGAACAACTGCAAGTCTCTGCAGAAGGTTGTGCAGTCAGCAGAACATGCAATCAGACTACTGTAGCACTCCCAAACCTTAATGACATCTACATCAAATGATGCAGATCCAGGGCCAGGAAAATCTTCATGGACCCCAACCACCCCAAGTCACCACTTCTCTCTGCTAAGATTGGGAAAATGCTACCGCTGCCGGAAAGACCAGCATTGAAAGGCTGAGGAAGAGCTTCTTCCCCCAGGCAATACGGATCCTAAATGAGGACACGGGGTGTGTCCGAAATCGCGCACTTGCCTCAGTGCACTGAGATGTAGGGCGTAGTGCGCACTGCGCACTTCCTCCT